ATTTCTTTTTTGATAATGGTCCATGTTGCTTTACATTTGTTATCATTTTTATTTATGAACTTAATATTAGCATTCTTTTTTAAATTAAATACACATTTTTTAAGAGTTTAGAATATGATAGGTAACATAGTCTGTTAGCCTTACTTTTATTTTTATAATATTTAAATCTTGACATTTGTTTTTCTTTACAACTTACTTTGAGTGCTTTGCTTATCCAATTTTGTTTTTTATTTTGTAAATTTATTTTAATTCGTTGTTTTGGAAAACAGAGATAGTAGAAAAAGCAGAATAATTCATGAAATCGGCTGAATGCTGTGTTAGCATCATTTCTATGTATGCCTCAGACCATGACAAATTCTTCAGGCATTCTTTAAACTTCCTGATGTTATCTAAGTTATAGTCTCTCTTGTAAACATAATATATAGCATGTTTTTGTGGCTCACCTTTTATAGGAAAGCTTAACAATTGTGCTGTGTCATGATCGGAAAGATACAGTGGTAGCAATGTTACAGTCGTATTTTGAATGTTACTTAATATATGATCAATGATGACCTACGTGTAGGAACATTGAAATGTATTTTCAAGTTATAATTATAGGACAAATCTTGTAAAGAGTTTGTGATTTTGCTTTTTTAGTGTGTTTATATTAAAGTCTACAGCTATAACTATATGTACTTTCGATTTGTATTTTACAGTTAGGTCATGCAAAAGTGTGTTTAACTTAAATAAGAACTGTGTTGGGTCGGATTGGGGGGGTTCTGTAGAGACAAATAGTAATTAATTTAATATGTATGATTTCTATGCCGCATGCCTCCAACGTATTCTGGGTAGCATAATTTTTTATGAATAATTCATTGAATATTGTACCCTTTTTAACTAAAATACATGTTGCACCTCTTTGTTTTTCTCTGCAGAAGTTGGCGGCCACCATACCGTCATACCCACATATTGTTACATAACTCTCAAAACCTTTTTTTGTGAAAATTTCGGAAAGACATATTACGTCCGGATCATTATTTTTTGCTCTTAACTCCTCTATAGTTACGTCTATTAAATCTTGCTTTGACAAAACACTAGCAAGTTTTGGTGAAGAATACTAAAATGATGAGTACTTATTAATTAAATTTTTATGGTCGAAAAATTTATCGTTCTTTTTTATTACTGGAAAATAATAGGGCATGGTCCCTTTCTTATAAATAACAGGAGGTTTTGAGTGTTCATCAATTTTTTTTTAAAAGTATAGGGGAATTGTTCCTTTTTTGGTTTATTTATGGTTTTACATAATTTAAAACTTGGCTTATTACTCGCTATTCTTTTACTAATTTCACTAGGATTTAAATATTTTTCTGCGTAGTCACTATAGTCAATAGCATAATTTATTGATTTACAAGTGTCGAAGCGATTTGAATATTTTTTACAATCTACAAACTTACAATTTTTACGTCTTTTGCAAATATTTTTGATACAATAGATTAAATTATTAACATTTATGTACCTATTTTTAATAACATTTAGTACAATTATTGTATTTTTACTAAAAGTATCTATTATAGTTTGTAATTGAGACAAAACTTGTTTTATATTATGATTATTTTCTCCTAAACATATGACTAATTTATCATCCAATTTTAATTCCATGTTGTGGCAATTTTTTATTATTTCGTTACTTGGTGCATAGGATTTTGTTTCACCAATAACTCCATAATGTTCATATTGTGTCTCTGATCTTGAGTGTGATATGGCTGCGGCTAGGCCAACGCATTGTTGAGAACCAATGATGTAAATAATTTTTTCATGGCTGTTATTTTGCTGTCTCATCACAGGTTTTGAGGTCTTGCTCGATTTATCTTTGGTTTCGCAGTGAATATTTTGTGTCAGATTTGTTATTTTTTTATTGAGTTATGATCTCCTTTTCTGCATCTTTTAATTCTTGTTGCAAGTTGATAATTTTTTGTTGAAGGCTTGATATCGTCGAATTAAGGTGGGGATGGTTGTATGATGTGACTATCGGTGAGGGTGGCACGGTAGATAGACTGTGAAGTAGCAAGGAGTGTCTCTTCTTCTTAGATGTATTGCCTGTTTGAGGACTATCAATTTTTATGGGGGAATAGCATAGAGATTTTAGTATTTTATTTTCTGTGGTTAACTTTTTTATCTGTCTGTGAAGATCATTATTTTCTAATATTATGTTTTCTTACTCATTTTGAGTAATATGAAGGTAAATCAAAAAGTCAGACAGACAATTTTAAAAAATTGTGTTTGTCTTTTGTTATAAATACAGTATAAACTTTCATATGCATTTAGTAAAAGGCTGATATTTTGAAAATACAAACAGACACTTCAATGTATAGATGTCTTAATTAGAAAATAAAAATCATCTTATATTTCATGTTGATTGCAACATTCATATTGACTTTTTTTTCTATCCTTTATTTACAACAATCTGTCACCTTTGAGGGACATTCAGCAGTATGTTGTTGGTGCTATTGCTGACGTGCTCGGTATGTGACCTGTGTCACATCCTCATTATTAAACAGTAACTGGGTTTACTGTGTTTGTATTAAATCTTGTGGTATCTTGCGCTTTAAGCGTCGCGCTTTGTTGTGATTTGCCATGAGTGGCTGAGGCAAAATATTTGGATGACATTCGATGCACTCTTTATAAGTTCTGGTATGGCGTAGGATTTCCTGTTTCACAGTAGGCAGGCGTAGATCATGATGTATTAATTTGTTGGGCACATACCAGGGGGTATTGGTTATCATGCGGAGTACTTTATTTTGGAACCTTTGTAAGATTTTGATGTTTGAATGGGATGCAGTACCCCACAGTTGGATTCCATACGTCCAGATAGGTTTCAGTATTGCCTTGTACAGAAGTATTTTGTTTTCTAGAGACAATTGAGACTTTCGTCCTATGAGCCAGTAGAGTTTTGCCAGGTAAGTCTTTTGTCCAAGTACAATCCAAGGTATCTCACATGATCTGCCTGTGGAACTACAATGTTGTTAAGTGTGACTGGGGGGGCAAGAGCCCCTTCTTAGGGTGAACGTTACGTTGACTGATTTGGTTTCATTTGCTTTTATCCACCACTTTTTGAGCCAGTGGGATATGTCATTTAGCCCTTTTTGAAGTATTTGTGAGGCTATTTTTGGGTCGCTATATATTGACATTTAAACAAATAAAATGGCTGCCAACATCTGTAATTTTCAGTATGGCGTTGACTGCACCAGTAGCTTTTCAAGGTACGCGTACTAGCGCCTTTCTCTATATGTCGCCGGGTCCAATGGGCTAAATATTGGGACGGAAGGTAAAAATGATGGGAGTTTCGTTCTCAAATCTAATGTAATAAAAATAAAAAATAGGTTTGTAGCCAAGTCTTCTTGACACATTTATATCGTCCATGTATTGGAAACACTGCATATTCGTCTATGTGCATTTTTTTCTGTAAATCAGAATTTGTTGAACAATTAGTTACAATTCCAATAAATATTTTTATGTGATCTTTATGTGTGCGATTTATTTCAAAACTGATTCTTGATAGTCTGTGGTTATTCGTTATGGCATGGCATATTTAGCATGCCACATCACTCTCGTAAGTGGGCGTTTCCATGAAGCACAACATTGGGTATGTTCCGAAATACAACGCAGTGTACTGTCCAATGCAAATGACGTCATGAATCGACGCTATACTGGTGATTCGTTCCAAAACATTGGACAGTACAACACGTCATACTTTTGCGCCATTTGGAAAATGTTGGCGATTATTTTGTCATTTTGTGCTCCAAAAATCATTATAATCTCCTATTGGATATACCATCAATTATTCTATAATTTTTTGTATTTGAATAAATAGAAACAAATTCTGGCATGCTTCATTCGGCAAACACACAATTAAAAATTGTTTTATTATGGCCGGATATCCGACACAATATGGCAGCGGCACGCTAGTACAATAAAGTGTCAAATGATACGTCATTTGCATTGGACAGTACACTGCGTTGTATTTCGGAACATGCCGAATATCTGTATGACAGTTTGTATCTGTATGACAGTTATTCAGTTTCCAAATGGCCCAAAAGTATGAGGTCATATACTGGGTGCGTTTGGCAGAAAAAAGCGCTAGCAAGCGCTTGTAAGCAAAATGGCGATCGTAAGCGGTAAGCGCTGTCAAATCGTAAGTAGCTATTTTCCTCTAGGACACGATGTTAGTTTTAACCGGGGAACCTAACCTAATTTAAATATATGTTTGTAAAGTATTCATATTAAAAATTTACCAATCATGAATTTTTAATAACATGTATATGTATATTCATGTCATTATATTACTTAAAACTAATATTGCACAAAACAACTTACAATTTCTACTTCAAAACAAACAAATTAAATAATCAAAATGGCGGATTGTGTCAGCGCTACTGAAGTAGCAATCATGTCCTGGCCGAAAACTATTTTAGCGCTTGTAAGCGCTTGTTAGCGCTTTTTTCTGCCAAACGCACCCACTGTCCAATGTTTTGGAACGAATCACCAGTATAGCGTCGATTCATGACGTCATTTGCATTGGACAGTACACTGCGTTGTATTTCGGAACATACCCTTTATCTAAAAAAATACAAAACTTCATAGGCGTGAGCTGTCATTTCGCACCATGCTACAACGCAGACTAGCTTCAAACACAATTCAAAAAGCTCACTAATCTTTCGGTGAACTACCAACAAGTCAAAATTATATCAATGATTCAGACACAGAAAAACCTCTCCAAATGGCTCATTCTATGTTCAGGCGTGGAATTAATGATCTTCATTTCATAACTGAATAATAAATGTGTGAATAACTGGTAAGTGTAAAAGTTATTAATATTATTTGTTTGTTTTGATACTAAACTTAACACGTGCTTACTCACAAGTTATTAACATGAGTAACAGCTAGTCCCACATTCTTGTTTCTTTCAATGTTATTCTTGAAATAAATCATATTATATAACTTAAAGGTTATTTCATAGCAAAATGGACTTCATTGTGGGGGGCCTAGCGGGTGTTGGTGCTGGGTTTTTTAGCAATCCTTTTGATGTCGTTAAAACCCGAATGCAGTTACAAGGAGAACTGCGGGCGCGCGGTCAACACAATGTATACTATAAAAATGTTCCACATGCAGTGTACACTATTGTTAAACATGATGGGGTAGCGGCATTGCAAAAAGGATTGGTGCCAGCTCTCTGGTTCCAGTTAGTTGTGAATGGTGTAAGGTAAATAACATCATAAACAATAATAATATATAGTGATACTAACCACTCAAGTGTCCAAGCCGCACGGGTGATTCTCACCCTTCCTGTCTGCGTATAAAATGTCACTTTCTTTTTTACGACCGTGCGAGACACTCTCAAAAAAAACAATTACTACTGAACAACTACTATAGCTACATTCAAATAAAAAATATTTATGAAAAGCTCAAAAAATTCAGAATTTTATTTTGTTAAAACTAAATTGCTCAAATTATTCTTCTTCTTCTTTTAAATTATGGCTTCTCTTGATAGAATTCTGCCAGTGTCAAGTCAGTCATGGAAGTGACAAGTTAATAATAGTTAAAATAAGAGTTCTCAATTTAATGAGTGGGTTCACAATCTACAACAAAAGACGTCACATATTTAAAATACCATCACCAAAATTGCTAAGTAATTTTACAGTTTAATATTATTAGTACAAATAAAAGCACATAAAATATTTACAAAGAGAGTATACACTAGGGTCAGCAAAAATTGGAAATTTACTGGACGAGGGATGTAATTGAGCAGGATATCGTAGAGAGAGAAAGAAAGTTTAGGACACTCAAAGAACAGATGATTGACAGATCCTTCATCTAGGCCACATTCACAGATTGAGCTATCCCTAATCCTGAGTTTGGCCAAGTGTACAGGAGTACAAGCATGACCAAAGCGTAGGCGGCAAATAGTGGAGGTGATAGCTTTACTAAAGTGGCAGTATTGAAAAAACCAGGGTTTCAATGGGAAATTCATTTGGACTTTGGAATAGTGATTACGGATTCTATCGCGTTTATTTAACTGATTTTACTTATTTTTAATTCCCGACGTTTCGGGTGCTTTACAGCAACCATGGTCACGGTGGGGACTGAGATGTTTGACGTCCCAATGTCATTGTTAGCCCGGCTACCTTTAGTTTTTGAATATTAATTTTTGGTCCGATTTACGCAAAACGAACTTGCAGTATCTTGAAGTCTCGCAGTGGTATGCTTGGGTTTGGGTTTAATTTTGTTAATTATATTATCCCAAGCAGATGGCAGCACCCAACCATCTTCTCTATTAAAATTAGGATGTTTTTTAATTTCAATAGCCTCGCGTATCATCCTTGGTAGGAATCGGTGTTCTTTTGCGAGGACTTGTGGTTTATCAAATCTGATGTAATGGTGGGGACGATCTTGTCGATCGACACCGCAGAACCTACTAATCTATCGTCACTTAACTTTGAAGCATCAGTGTACATAGTTAACCAATCATACCAATTTTGAAGGAGGAGCATATTTAATTTGTTATTTGCTTCAATAGTATTTTTATCTATTCTGATATCTAGAATAATGTCTGGATTGAAAATTAGAGCCTCGTATTGTAAAGTGGGTTACTAAGGATTTGCCTTTGCCATGCATTATAAAAAGTTATATTAAATTGCTGAACATTCCCTCTCCAATTGCTCAAATTAAAAATAAAGGACGAAAATAAAGCTTTAAGTTGGGTATATCAAAAAATTATTGTATTTATTTTATATTTCAAGTTTTACAAAAAGTATAACACGGTAGACAATTATTTTGTTATGATATACCCTTTGTAACACTAATATTTCAATGTTATTTACTCAGTATAAATAAATATATAATATTGGCTCAATATAAATATTCACTCCCCAATGCAATTATGAATTGCATGAGTTGCTTTTTAATAATTTCTCTACATATTTCTTTTATAAATGGCTATTAATGTGTCAATGGTAAAGCATTCTTTTATTTTTAGCAATTATTTAACAAAAACAACTGATTATAATACATTTTAAACAATTTATAATCAAAAAACTAATGATTGCCTATAGTGATTAAAATTTCGAGTAAAAATTATTAAACATTGTGGAACTTTTGTAATTAAACATATTTCCTAAACGAAATATCTTTACAATTAATTTGATGTATGATGTCTTGCAGATTTTTATTTGTATAATCATAACCCTACTTTTTAGACAGAAATATTGACTCAAAATTACTTTTCCAATGTAACAGGCGCTGCGGGAAGTGCAGCCCCTTCGCTCTTGAGTGCTTTTTTTAGTTGACTTACTATTTGCTGGCAGACATTTGTGCGAGCCGTAGCGGTTGAAGCTGGTTGCCGAAGGCGACCAATAAGCCAAATTTTATTCCAACTGAAGTTGAAATTTACAGCCTATATATGTCACACTGCTGGGCACACGCCCCTTTCATTACTGGGAGGGTTAAGAGAAGTTATTATCTTATAATTTTCATTTAATCAAAATGCTGCTACAAAATGACTAAATATTATATCTTATATATTTATTTACATATTTATAATTTCTTTCATGAAGCCTTACAACATTTAATAATTAAAATAATTACAGACTTGGTATATATCAACATGCAGATGAGTATGGCCTCTTGCGAGATGAAGAGAAAAATACGAAATTTATCAACAGTCTGTTTTTTGGCTCTTTTTCTGGCATGGTAGGAGCATTTTTTGGTAGCCCATTGCAATTGGTTAAGACACAAATGATGTCGTTCTCCTCTGAAAAGATAGCTGTTGGTACACAACATGCACACAGAGGTATGGTATACGCTATGGTGAAGATATATAGAAAAAATGGTTTGAGAGCTTTGTGGCGGGGGGCACATGGGATGATGATCAGAAATTCTATTGGTTCTGCATCACAGATAGCTTCTTATGTTGTGTAAGTATTTATTTAAAGTATTATGGAATACTTTCTTAAAGTTCCCTTAGCCAAAAGGAATATATATTTTATTTACCGGTAGGTGGTGTGATGATTACTATCACTCCAAATTCACTCCTGAATTTTTATAATGGAAATATAACATTTATTGATAACAATTACAGCACAGTGCCATCTATCCAGGTCCAGATTTTGTGTTTTCTTTCTTGGCACTAAACTTACATAAATTGTTAATATAAATCATTTTGGTCCATAAATATAAAATTAATAATAGCTTGATTCCATTGCCACCTATCGGATCCTAGCTTAGTTATGAATAATCACTGTGTGAAGCAAATATAACCTTAATCAGTCTACTTGTTCAAGAGTTACACAATCACTAAGAGATACTGTTGATATATTAAAACATGTATGTTTGCCTATACAGTGGAGCCCCAGTAATCCGGCACCCCTTGCAATCGGACGTGGTCTATTATTTATTATTGAATGTTTTTTTGACAAACTTCGCTAATGCATGATTGAACAAGTTATAACTTGTATGCACCACCACTATTGTGCGAGATGTGTATGGTATTGTTTTGATTCTGACAGAAAAATTTGATTCTGAAAATGGTTGAAAGATCATAATTTTCCTCAAAAAGCGTTATTGTTTCTTGATAACGCTCTTAAATTGATTGATTTATAATTTTTTATTATTTTAGTATGTACATTTGTTTGTTTCCTAATATATAGTCATTGAATATTTTTTTTTTTGTAAGTTCTATAGCATTAATGATGTTAATTTTATAATAAAACGTTAGCTCTCTATTGTGCTGCTTAATTCACTAAATTTGACATACATATTGAAGTATGATTTGTACATCAGAGTACAAATCATACTTCATTATGTTATATGTCGTACATATATATAACATATAGGATCTTATTGAATCTGTAATTTGTCGGATTACAAGGTACTCTTTTGTAAAAAATTCCGGACGGGGTGTTAGGCAGTACTCTATAATCTGACATATTCAATAGTCTGACACTGCCCTGCAAAGTATTTGTCAGATTACTGGGGGTCCACTGTATATATAATAGGCAAGGAATTCTATAATTATATTATGTCTCAATCAGTCAAATCAGACAATTAAGAGACTAGTTCACATACTATTAACTAAATACTACTAAATCCCAGAGATGTGGTTTCGTACTATAAATTATTATTTTGCAGATGTAAAGAGTGGATGGACAATAACAATATATTTCAGCAGTCTAAATATCTTTCTGCATTCATAGCTAGTAACATTGGGGCTGTCATGAAGACCATTGCCCTTACTCCTATGGATGTCATAATGACTCGTCTTTACAATCAAGGTTAGTTGCAGTTTTTGCCAATATTTGATAAATTAAAACAATTTATTCCACCAATCAAACCAGATCTCAAAATTGTTAATTTGTTTTTATTTATTTTGTAGGGGGACAAACAAGCACACAGTCCATCTGATGGTAAATGGATCCTGTGGCCCATAGACATTTACATCTATCCTCACTTAAGGATCAAAATGCAGATGCGATTGCCATCCCTGAGAACTAAGATGGAATGCCTCATTTCCTGTAAAAAGGTGTTCTCTACACTCACCATAAGAAACACAGCATCATTGCGCTGCTATTTTACACTGGTATTATGTGCGAGTGTGGTCCTTACCCAGTCTAGGCGGCCCATTCGTGTTACAACCATAATATAGCTGCAGCATGGCTCTACCACGTAAAGTAACTTGTTTCTTGTTATAATATGCTGTTCAAATATTATTTTACACTGGTTATTATGTGCGAGTGTGGTCCTTACCCAGTCTAGGCGGCCCATTCGTGTTACAACCATAATATAGCTGCAGCATGGCTCTACCACGTAAAGTAACTTGTTTCTTGTTATAATATGCTGTTCAAATATTATTTTACACTGGTTATTATGTGCGAGTGTGGTCCTTACCCAGTCTAGGCGGCCCATTCGTGTTACAACCATAATATAGCTGCAGCATGGCTCTACCACGTAAAGTAACTTGTTTCTTGTTATAATATGCTGTTCAAATATTATTTTACACTGGTTATTATGTGCGAGTGTGGTCCTTACCCAGTCTAGGCGGCCCATTCGTGTTACAACCATAATATAGCTGCAGCATGGCTCTACCACGTAAAGTAACTTGTTTCTTGTTATAATATGCTGTTCAAATATTATTTTACACTGGTATTATGTGCGAGTGTGGTCCTTACCCAGTCTAGGCGGCCCATTCGTGTTACAACCATAATATAGCTGCAGCATGGCTCTACCACGTAAAGTAACTTGTTTCTTGTTATAATATGCTGTTCAAATATTATTTTACACTGGTAGTATGTGCGAGTGTGGTCCTTACCCAGTCTAGGCGGCCCATTCGTGTTACAACCATAATATAGCTACAGCATGGCTCTACCACGTAAAGTAACCTGTTTCTTGTTATAATATGCTGTTCAAATATTATTTTACACTGGTTTATTATGTGCGAGTGTGGTCCTTACCCAGTCTAGGCGGCCCATTCGTGTTACAACCATAATATAGCTGCAGCATGGCTCTACCACGTAAAGTAACCTGTTTCTTGTTATAATATGCTGTTCAAATATTATTTTACACTGGTTTATTATGTGCGAGTGTGGTCCTAACCCAGTCTAGGCGGCCCATTCGTGTAACAACCATAATATAGCTGCAGCATGGCTCTACCACGTAAAGTAACTTGTTTCTTGTTATAATATGCTGTTCAAATATTATTTTACACTGGTTATTATGTGCGAGTGTGGTCCTTACCCAGTCTAGGCGGCCCATTCGTGTTACAACCATAATATAGCTGCAGCATGGCTCTACCACGTAAAGTAACTTGTTTCTTGTTATAATATGCTGTTCAAATATTATTTTACACTGGTTATTATGTGCGAGTGTGGTCCTTACCCAGTCTAGGCGGCCCATTCGTGTTACAACCATAATATAGCTGCAGCATGGCTCTACCACGTAAAGTAACTTGTTTCTTGTTATAATATGCTGTTCAATATTATTTTACACTGGTATTATGTGCGAGTGTGGTCCTTACCCAGTCTAGGCGGCCCATTCGTGTTACAACCATAACATAGCTGCAGCATGGCTCTACCACGTAAAGTAACTTGTTTCTTGTTATAATATGCTGTTCAAATTCTATTTTACACTGGTAGTATGTGCGAGTGTGGTCCTTACCCAGTCTAGGCGGCCCATTCGTGTTACAACCATAATATAGCTGCAGCATGGCTCTACCACGTAAAGTAACTTGTTTCTTGTTATAATATGCTGTTCAAATATTATTTTACACTGGTTTATTATGTGCGAGTGTGGTCCTAACCCAGTCTAGGCGGCCCATTCGTATTACAACCATAATATAGCTACAGCATGGCTCTACCACGTAAAGTAACCTGTTTCTTGTTATAATATGCTGTTCAAATATTATTTTACACTGGTTTATTATGTGCGAGTGTGGTCCTAACCCAGTCTAGGCGGCCCATTCGTGTTACAACCATAATATAGCTGCAGCATGGCTCTACCACGTAAAGTAACTTGTTTCTTGTTATAATATGCTGTTCAAATATTATTTTACACTGGTTTATTATGTGCGAGTGTGGTCCTAACCCAGTCTAGGCGGCCCATTCGTGTAACAACCATAATATAGCTGCAGCATGGCTCTACCACGTAAAGTAACTTGTTTCTTGTTATAATATGCTGTTCAAATATTATTTTACACTGGTTATTATGTGCGAGTGTGGTCCTTACCCAGTCTAGGCGGCCCATTCGTGTTACAACCATAATATAGCTGCAGCATGGCTCTACCACGTAAAGTAACTTGTTTCTTGTTATAATATGCTGTTCAAATATTATTTTACACTGGTTTATTATGTGCGAGTGTGGTCCTAACCCAGTCTAGGCGGCCCATTCGTGTAACAACCATAATATAGCTGCAGCATGGCTCTACCACGTAAAGTAACTTGTTTCTTGTTATAATATGCTGTTCAAATATTATTTTACACTGGTTATTATGTGCGAGTGTGGTCCTTACCCAGTCTAGGCGGCCCATTCGTGTTACAACCATAATATAGCTGCAGCATGGCTCTACCACGTAAAGTAACTTGTTTCTTGTTATAATATGCTGTTCAAATATTATTTTACACTGGTTATTATGTGCGAGTGTGGTCCTTACCCAGTCTAGGCGGCCCATTCGTGTTACAACCATAATATAGCTGCAGCATGGCTCTACCACGTAAAGTAACTTGTTTCTTGTTATAATATGCTGTTCAAATATTATTTTACACTGGTTTATTATGTGCGAGTGTGGTCCTAACCCAGTCTAGGCGGCCCATTCGTGTAACAACCATAATATAGCTGCAGCATGGCTCTACCACGTAAAGTAACTTGTTTCTTGTTATAATATGCTGTTCAAATATTATTTTACACTGGTTATTATGTGCGAGTGTGGTCCTTACCCAGTCTAGGCGGCCCATTCGTGTTACAACCATAATATAGCTGCAGCATGGCTCTACCACGTAAAGTAACTTGTTTCTTGTTATAATATGCTGTTCAAATATTATTTTACACTGGTTATTATGTGCGAGTGTGGTCCTTACCCAGTCTAGGCGGCCCATTCGTGTTACAACCATAATATAGCTGCAGCATGGCTCTACCACGTAAAGTAACTTGTTTCTTGTTATAATATGCTGTTCAAATATTATTTTACACTGGTATTATGTGCGAGTGTGGTCCTTACCCAGTCTAGGCGGCCCATTCGTGTTACAACCATAACATAGCTGCAGCATGGCTCTACCACGTAAAGTAACTTGTTTCTTGTTATAATATGCTGTTCAAATTCTATTTTACACTGGTAGTATGTGCGAGTGTGGTCCTTACCCAGTCTAGGCGGCCCATTCGTGTTACAACCATAATATAGCTGCAGCATGGCTCTACCACGTAAAGTAACTTGTTTCTTGTTATAATATGCTGTTCAAATATTATTTTACACTGGTTTATTATGTGCGAGTGTGGTCCTAACCCAGTCTAGGCGGCCCATTCGTATTACAACCATAATATAGCTACAGCATGGCTCTACCACGTAAAGTAACCTGTTTCTTGTTATAATATGCTGTTCAAATATTATTTTACACTGGTTTATTATGTGCGAGTGTGGTCCTAACCCAGTCTAGGCGGCCCATTCGTGTTACAACCATAATATAGCTGCAGCATGGCTCTACCACGTAAAGTAACTTGTTTCTTGTTATAATATGCTGTTCAAATATTATTTTACACTGGTTTATTATGTGCGAGTGTGGTCCTAACCCAGTCTAGGCGGCCCATTCGTGTAACAACCATAATATAGCTGCAGCATGGCTCTACCACGTAAAGTAACTTGTTTCTTGTTATAATATGCTGTTCAAATATTATTTTACACTGGTTATTATGTGCGAGTGTGGTCCTTACCCAGTCTAGGCGGCCCATTCGTGTTACAACCATAATATAGCTGCAGCATGGCTCTACCACGTAAAGTAACTTGTTTCTTGTTATAATATGCTGTTCAAATATTATTTTACACTGGTTTATTATGTGCGAGTGTGGTCCTAACCCAGTCTAGGCGGCCCATTCGTGTAACAACCATAATATAGCTGCAGCATGGCTCTACCACGTAAAGTAACTTGTTTCTTATTATAATATGCTGTTCAAATATTATTTTACACTGGTATTATGTGCGAGTGTAGTCCTTACCCAGTCTAGGCGGCCCATTCGTGTTACAACCATAATATAGCTGCAGCATGGCTCTACCACGTAAAGTAACTTGTTTCTTGTTATAATATGCTGTTCAAATATTATTTTACACTGGTTATTATGTGCGAGTGTGGTCCTTACCCAGTCTAGGCGGCCCATTCGTGTTACAACCATAATATAGCTGCAGCATGGCTCTACCACGTAAAGTAACTTGTTTCTTGTTATAATATGCTGTTCAAATATTATTTTACACTGGTAGTATGTGCGAGTGTGGTCCTTACCCAGTCTAGGCGGCCCATTCGTGTTACAACCATAATATAGCTGCAGCATGGCTCTACCACGTAAAGTAACCTGTTTCTTGTTATAATATGCTGTTCAAATATTATTTTACACTGGTTATTATGTGCGAGTGTGGTCCTTACCCAGTCTAGGCGGCCCATTCGTATTACAACCATAATATAGCTGCAGCATGGCTCTACCACGTAAAGTAACCTGTTTCTTGTTATAATATGCTGTTCAAATATTATTTTACACTGGTATTATGTGCGAGTGTGGTCCTAACCCAGTCTAGGCGGCCCATTCGTGTTACAACCATAATATAGCTGCAGCATGGCTCTACCACGTAAAGTAACTTGTTTCTTGTTATAATATGCTGTTCAAATATTATTTTACACTGGTTTATTATGTGCGAGTGTGGTCCTAACCCAGTCTAGGCGGCCCATTCGTGTAACAACCATAATATAGCTGCAGCATGGCTCTACCACGTAAAGTAACTTGTTTCTTGTTATAATATGCTGTTCAAATATTATTTTACACTGGTTATTATGTGCGAGTGTGGTCCTTACCCAGTCTAGGCGGCCCATTCGTGTTACAACCATAATATAGCTGCAGCATGGCTCTACCACGTAAAGTAACTTGTTTCTTGTTATAATATGCTGTTCAAATATTATTTTACACTGGTTTATTATGTGCGAGTGTGGTCCTAACCCAGTCTAGGCGGCCCATTCGTGTAACAACCATAATATAGCTGCAGCATGGCTCTACCACGTAAAGTAACTTGTTTCTTATTATAATATGCTGTTCAAATATTATTTTACACTGGTATTATGTGCGAGTGTGGTCCTTACCCAGTCTAGGCGGCCCATTCGTGTTACAACCATAATATAGCTGCAGCATGGCTCTACCACGTAAAGTAACTTGTTTCTTGTTATAATATGCTGTTCAAATATTATTTTACACTGGTTATTATGTGCGAGTGTGGTCCTTACCCAGTCTAGGCGGCCCATTCGTGTTACAACCATAATATAGCTGCAGCATGGCTCTACCACGTAAAGTAACTTGTTTCTTGTTATAATATGCTGTTCAAATATTATTTTACACTGGTAGTATGTGCGAGTGTGGTCCTTACCCAGTCTAGGCGGCCCATTCGTGTTACAACCATAATATAGCTGCAGCATGGCTCTACCACGTAAAGTAACTTGTTTCTTGTTATAATATGCTGTTCAAATATTATTTTACACTGGTTATTATGTGCGAGTGTGGTCCTTACCCAGTCTAGGCGGCCCATTCGTGTTACAACCATAATATAGCTGCAGCATGGCTCTACCACGTAAAGTAACTTGTTTCTTGTTATAATATGCTGTTCAAATATTATTTTACACTGGTTAGTATGTGCGAGTGTGGTCCTTACCCAGTCTAGGCGGCCCATTCGTGTTACAACCATAATATAGCTGCAGCATGGCTCTACCACGTAAAGTAACTTGTTTCTTGTTATAATATGCTGTTCAAATATTATTTTACACTGGTTTATTATGTGCGAGTGTGGTCCTTACCCAGTCTAGGCGGCCCATTCGTGTAACAACCATAATATAGCTGCAGCATGGCTCTACCACGTAAAGTAACTTGTTTCTTGTTATAATATGCTGTTCAAATATTATTTACGCCAGGTGAAAAATGCCCAGACTAGCATCAAGGTCAAGAAGTACATACATCTGCTAAGAATGACCACTAAGGCAAATCCTCCATCCAAAGAGAGAGGCTTATCTAAAGCAATGGACTTTCATAGGCTGATGAAAAAGAAGAAAAATTACGGATATTAACATAGAAATTAAACTCGGGGATTATAACTCAGGATTAAACTTCTGTGTCTGTCTGTCACATTAGACATCTGTTACATCTGTAACATTAGAAACACTGTTAACATAATATAAAGTTACAGCCTATAAAATTCCTACTGCTTTGCACAGGTCGCATGTGGTAAATCAGCACTTAAAATTGCAATTAACAACTTCATTGATGCCGGTGGGGATTGAACCTGGGTTAATATTTTAGCTACCATGAAAAGCCCATTGCTGATATATTTCCTTTGCTTGTATATTAATTGATGTTGCAACGTTAGATGATAGTTAATTAGTTTGAATTTAATGAACAGAACAGACGCAGACGAGCAGAACCCCCCATGACCATGGGTGGTGGGCGCTTCTGCTCGTCTGCTGGGGGGGAGGGAGGGTAAAGTACTCGAAATGTTGGGAATATAAAATAAAATCCGTAAAAACTAGTTTTAGTTAAATAGTTTGATTTTTTTATGAATACTGTTTTGATTGTCTGTTAACAAACTTAGACGAATAATAGAACGAAAAATAACATTAATTAGACATAAGAGGAGTAATAAAGTGACGCCCTCAAAAATTTGACCAAAAATTGGACATTCACACTGAAGACCCTTTTTTTAATTTAATTTCAATTTACTTTTCTTATCATGTTTCTGTTTGTTTCATTATTAAGTTTGTATTTACAGCCACAGATGCAAATGGACGTGGACTTCTTTACTCTGGAATACTGGATTGTGCTCGAAAAATTACCAAAACCGAAGGCCTCTTAGCTTTTTACAAAGGAATTGGCCCTTCGTACCTAAGGCAAGCACCGCATACGGTGTTGCTTTTAGTTTTCTGGGATATGTTGAAAGATTTACAAAACACATTGGGGTTGTGAAGGTTGTGAAACTACATTAAATTTACCAATATGAAATTAACAGCTACTAGAATCTCTCATATATAAGTATTTTAATTGTTTACATAGGTAATTCCTCATTTTTATCCTATATTATCTGGTTAGCCTAGTATTTTATTTATAAAAATTGGTCATTATTATTTATAAATCAACACTAAAAGTAGTTGTACTTGAAAGCTGTAGTTATTTATATTTACATACATACACTATTAGTACCTGAAAAACACAAAACTACCCACTTCCAGTGGCGGATTAGCCGTAAGGTTAACTAGTCACGTCCCAAGGGGCGCGCTCTCAAGTTTTTAAACGAAAAAATTATTTACTTGATTATTTCTACAATACCCTCACTCTCTGATCACAGTTTACATGTGTTCCAATTATTTTGTAACTAAACTGTATTATAAATTATAATATAGTAAATTTTCAAAATGAGCAGTTATAATTTATAATATATGGCCGCCAGAGGAATGCCTAGGGTGTTGTCGAAATTTAATCCGCCTCTGTCCACTTCCTAAAATACAGTATTAATACATAGTAGGAATAAAATTTTACACTCACTCCGCCATACATAGCTTATCTATTATAGGCCATGTCAACATATCATGTTTGCATTAACAATATACTTACGTCATACACAAATATACTTACAATGACACAATATGATGTTTATCTTGCCTATAGGCATGTAATATAATATATAAAAGGCCTATGAGGCCTAGGTTTTTTTTTGTTTTTGCAATACATTTATTTTTAGAACAATAATCTGCGATATAATAGCTCAAATATTTACGTAAACCAGTAAAGTGGTTCAAGTTTTTGCTTATTAGCCTTAGATAAATAATGATTAAGCATTTAATGCCATTACACATGATCACATGATTACAGATTGTTAAAAGTTATAAGATTACATCATATTGTTATTTAGTATTTATTAATGTTAAATGTACAAACGTTTGTTACCATTGTTAATAGACGTTATAGATAATTTTTATTAATTGTTTATTATTTTCTTTATTTGTTGTTTATTAAATGTAGTGTCATGAGCGTTAAAAATGTAGTGACTTAAATAAAGAGAATAAGTTAGCTGACATTGAAAAAAGTGTTTTATTTTTATGTTTATTACAGTTATAAACTCCTATTGTTATAATTAATTGCTGAGTACTATGTTGTTAAATTATCTATATAATGATTTGAGACTTTAAAATCTTATATTAATTGAGTAAAGGAAAAAATTGATACAAATCAATAGATCATTTAATCAGACACTGCCAGGTGGTTATCTTTGATATCGATAGTTATCGTTATTTATTATTCCTAAATTTCAAAATTTCGTTTCTTCTCTAACTACGACTAGTTGTGGAAGCTTTATAGGCATGATATAGAATTAGTAAGGTAAAATTAAGAAATTTACTGTTTGGGAAGGTACAGCTTGCTGACTGCACAACATTGGTACATCAAATATGGGTATGTTCCGAAATACAACGCAGTGTACTGCCCAATGCAAATGACGTATTATTTGACACTTTATTGTACTAGCGTGCCGCCGCCATATTGTGTCGGATATCCGGCCATAACAAAACAATTTTAATTGTGTGTTTGCCGAATGAAGCATGCCAGAATTTGTTTCTGTTTATTCAAATACAAAAAATTATAGAATAATTGATGGTATATCCATTAGGAGGAAATAATGATTTTTGGAGCACAAAATGACAAAATAATCGCCAACACTTTTCCAAATGGCGCAAAAGTATGATGTCATATACTGTCCAATGTTTTGGAAGAATCAACAGTATAGCGTCGATTCATGACGTCATTTGCATTGAACAGTACACTGCGTTGTATTTCGGAACATACCCTTTTTATGCATATCATGTTTTAACTGCAATCAATCAATACCTTACATAAAGTTCTATTTTAACTTGGGTAATCCATCGCATAGTCTGTTTCTCCTGATGATGCCTTATATAGAAGCGAAACACCTGTCTAATTTTCGACAATGATGTGTCTTTCTTATGGTGGTCGTGTCGGTAGTACTGTACGCAATGGAGGGAGGGCGAGATGTGCTTTAGACTAGGTAAGACACATCATCTTTATTATTAAAACTGCGGTTCGTAGCCAATTAATAGTAACAACTTTAAAATAGGAAATTTCCGCAAAGTAAAACTGGATTATATAAATTATTTTAGTTGTTAGTCTGACTAGTTCTAAATTAAATAAGAATTTTTAAAAACAAGTATAGTAAAATCTTGAATTTTTACTATAGTTATTCTAACAGATAGTTGCAAACTATATCAAAATAATGTTTTATTGTCTTATGTATGCAGATCTTCCAAAATGTATTGCATGTTGTGAATGTGGTAAAATGCCTAAAATGAATGTGGTGGTGGTGTATCCATCATATAACAATTGCCCCGTGGAGGATGGGAATTTAACTGCCGGTGGACTGCTGCACCTGTATTATTATTTGAATATAGTTCGAAGCTGATTTTAACACGTAAAAGTAATGCGATTTAGTTTACTAAATGTCGACATTGACTGCCTCATTGGTGTAGTGGTCGTAAACATGATAGTTAATCATGTGGTACGAATACCGGGTCGGGACAAAAATCAGTTATTGGCTTTTTCTGTCAATAAATTATCATTAGCAGCCCAGGGTGGGGAAGTTGGCAGTGTTTCATTCCCATACTTCGGGAAAACACATAAAGCTTAGTAAGGTCATGTGCCTGACCTCTGGTCATGTCATATTACCTTGAGAGTGAGGGAATAGAGAGTGCACTTGTGCCTGCGCATACACTTGAGCAATATAATTATGTCCTGCGCAAAAACAATAAAAACCATCAAATCTACAAAACGACAAAGTAAAATTTCATCTGTGACTATAACATAATGTTGGGCGCCATAGTTGATGCCAGTAAATGCAATGCTAGAACTTCCCCCCCCCCCTTCAGTGCCATCTAGTATCGAGTGGTAGAACTAGGAGAGTACTTTCTACACTTAGTCGGTTGGGGTGGTTTATCACATTTAACAATTAATGTCTTTATCAACCTAAATTTATTCCGTTTTGCGTGGTCCATCACTGGTGTAACCGACCCAATCGTACTGCAGCGTGGCTCTATCACCTCGAAAAAATTGGATCAATTTGGCTTATTAAAATAAATACAGTTTTCCTTTCCAGATTCCAGCGCTAGCTTACAGAAATGAAAATAGTGGAAAATAACAGGAAACCGAAAAAAGATGGCGTTGAACGTGACATCACAGACATGGCAATGGGCGGCATATCAGCTATGTTCGCTACCCTTTTCACGAACCCCATTGAAGTAGTGAAAACTCGTCTGCAACTGCAAGGGGAACTCGCTGCTCGAGGTCGTCATTCTGTGTTTTATAAAAACGTACCGCATGGGTTGTTTGTGATTGCGAGAAATGAGGGACTGGTAGCTTTGCAGAGTGGATTACCAGCAATGCTTGGGTTTCAATTTTTCTTGAATACATTCAGGTAATTAGTAACCCAATTTTCTTAAATAAAAATTAAGTGACAAACGGTCTTACAGATACAGTACACCTGGATGGTTATACTCATGGAGGTTAGAGAAAAGGAGAACGATCGCTACGTTCTAAAGCAATTGCCCGCCTGTCCCTGAACTGCCGTCGGTAAGTAGTAGGTATATGCGAAGTTGACTGTTCATTAGTACATGTAGATGAAGTTAGTTGAATAATGTACAAATTTTCTTCGCGGCATTGGTGAGAAAATAATCGTGCTCCGTAATTTTTTGATTTTTGAAACAATATTAATTTATAGTTATAATAATTAAAATTATAAAAAATATCATTTATAATTTATTAATTAATAAATAATAATTTCGCTATTTTCTTTTTATTCTTTGAATGATATTATATACACGTAAATATTAAACGTTGATAGATCATTTAAAACTAGCGCACAACAGCCCGCTTTTATTGAGACAATTTAGCGATCACTTATTTTGTCCATATTTCTGTGACTATTTTCTACAGCGATCGTTCTCCTTTCTCTCTAACCTCCATGGTTATACTACTGCAGCCCATGGAATGCGTTGTCATCTCTGAGGGCTAATATGGTCTCAGCATGTTATTATACTGGCTCTATATATACCCTTCAGAAGGGCACACAACAGTGCACACACTGCTATTTTGTGGCAGAAATGTAATCGCTTATTTTACATTACCTTATTGAGACAATCTGTCAGTACCATAGATATAAGAAATAAGGAGATATGCCCAGTTGTTGAAAACGTATCGGAATCCGGTGTCTCCAGTTGGCCCCTACCACGCGCCAACTTCTACACATGCAGATCAGTAAAAGCAATAGATACACAGTCGCGCACACACTCGCATTTTATAAATCAGAACGTACTACACAATCAATTATAAACCGTATCTCTGAAAGCACAGCGTGTATGTACCATTCACCGTGGTACTTACTCACATAAAAATATCGGTCACTATCGTTGTGCTGTACAAAAGCCATTTATTTTACATATGCGTTAGTGATTAACTAAATTGAAAAGTTAACGATTATTTCATTTATACCAAAATTGTACTAAAAATTTTTTGGGCCCTGAATATAAAATATATAAAATACGATGTTAAGAGAATAGTATAATAAAAGTAATTAATATGTAGGTAAAAATATGATTATTGAGTACCTAAACTAAAAAGTTTAAACAATAAAAAATCCGGTTATTGAAATAATACTAGTTTTTACGGAATTTATCGCGTATATTTAACTTTTTAAATACCCGACGTTTCGAACGCTTTACAGCACTCATGGTCACGGGCAGGACTGAGATGTTCAACGTCCATATGCTATAGTTATAGTTAACTATGACTATAGCTATATGTCATAGTTAACTATAACTATAGCTACTATAGCTATAGTTATAGTTAACTATGACATATGGACGTTGAACATCTCAGTCCTGCCCGTGACCATGAGTGCTGTAAAG